CTACATGGCCAACGGAAAAGGGCGGACACCAGCAGCGACAGACCTGGGGCACAAATGCATAGAAATGCTACATGGCCAGCGGAAAAGGATGGACACCAGCAGTGACACAAAGGGCGGACACATCTTAAGAAAGAATTGAGAACCCCTAACAGTAAACTGTTTGGGGAATTAAGAACCCCTAACAGTAAACTGTTTGGGGAAATACGTTTCGTTTCAGACTCATGTTCAGCACTCTGTATTACCAAGTGAATTGACTGTGGGCGGTGCTGGAGACATTCCTCAGGAGCTGCTCAAGCTGGGACCAGTCCTCATCGCTGAGGCGCTTGCCTTACAAAGCTTGGCGCCGAGCTTGGCAGCGCTTAAGCCGCTTGCTGTGGAGAAGAAGAAAGGTTCCCAAAGGTCTTTTCGGAGCAAAGCCATGCTCAGCATGCTTGTCTGACACTAAAATTGTTGCTGCATGAAAGCGTGTGGGTCTTGTATGTCTCAAGTGTCGTGTTGCAGAACCATCAGGGGATCATTGTTGCCAAAGCATACCAAAAGCAGAAGGCTGGCATTGCACACGCACCAATTCGGAAGCTCAAGCCCACAAAAGACTGAAGTCTGCATCTGCTAAGAGATGTTGCTCTGGAATTGCATCTGCAACGGGTATATGTTTGCCACATGTCACATACTCTGAGAATACAGACACATTCAATGATGCACAAACGCTGCAAATGTGGACTGTGCCCAACTACAAGTAGAAGCCCCCAAGCGAAGGCTTTTTGAAATCTCTGTCTTCCGGTGCATGCTTATCAGGCTTACTTAAACTTGAAGTAAGAACCCCAATAGCTCTCGCTATCTGGGTAAAAGTGTATTTGGGCTGAGCTTTGCATGTCTGTCTCTTCTTGTCCGTCTGTGGTGTTCACCTGGGTGGGTGTGCCTGTCTTTTTTCGGGAGTGCCGATTCCTTGCACAGAATGATCCATGACATGCCAGGGCCATTCTGCCGAACAGTGCGCTCAGGAATTATGTTTGTCTCTCTGAGCTGAACGTAAGCTTGGTACTGCCCGCTACAGTACGGCTTCGATCGCGCTTTTGTCGCTCCTCTACACAGCTTCAACAAACAAATCATCAAACCGTCTGTCATACCTCTATAAAGCACACAATTGCCAACAAACTAACTTGCCCATGACACAGCCTGCGTACATTTCATATCCCAGCACTTCATCTACTTGCTTTCTGTCCTAATCTGTCCTCATCTGTCTCTGTGCATCTGACTGTCATCTTAACTCCCTTCCGTTTGAGGTCATGGGAGTGCAGTCCTGCGTCGCTCTCTCCTCAAGTCGCTGACGCTCCCGCTCCTGCAACGATACACCAAGAGGAAAAAGACACTGTGGAACCACCTAGAACGTTGAAAGGCCCGGAGCCCGGAGCGTTTTTCTTGTAAGTTGGTGAGGGACTCTGAACGAAAGCAAGAAGCAAAAATAGAGGAGGGACTCGGAAAGCCCTTGGCCTCTTCAATGTCTTCCTGAGTCCAGTGGGCAGGAAGCACTGCATTGCCTCCAGACAAATGAACTGCTTTTACTAGTAAGACTTAAATGAAATAATGATTTCACCTCAGAAATAAAGAAATGCTTGCTCCGTTCATACGGTCCAGAGGAAGAAAAAACATTGAAACCTAATTGCGACACCCCAAGCCCAGTCACCTTCAACACTCAAAGTCGGGGTGGAGGGAGGTGCTTCCCTTTCTCTACCTTCATGGTTCTGATTCCCAACCAGTTGTGATTCCTGCCAATTTCTTGCCATTTTGCTTTGTTTTTGTTCTCCTCTTTCACAAGCAAATGAACTATCTGACTATGCAGGACGTCCCTGCCTCGAGCAGCTTTCACCGCTGTGGCAGGATTTGGCACTTGGGGGGGAGGCGTCTGAAGAGAAAGATCCTGCGGAGGCTTGCACCTCCCTCATCTTTGACAAGTATGCAAAACAGTTTCTTTCCAATGCTGACCGAATCAAGACCGGCATGATATCTCTGACAAACACTGGTTTGTTGCTTCAGATACTCCTTTCAAAAGCAGGAGACAAGAAAACAATGCATAGAAATGCACAGGTCCATGAATGCCAGGGGCGTATCTGTAAAAATGTTGATTAAGTATATAAATATCGCTTCCTATTTTGGCAGTACTTTGACCGGACCTCTCCGCCCGAAGATGAAAACTTTGACTGCCGCTTTTTCTCGGCCGCTTCAAGTGCAGCCTGAGCGATTTTTTCCCCTCAAATTCGGAACCATTTCGATCATGCGAAGGGTTCTTTTGCATTAAGAACAAGAAAATAGAATAGAAGAACGATTATACCAGCATAGACCCCAAACAGCTTCAAAACGATTCGCTTAGACCAATATTAATCAAAAAACGATTTCTTGGTACACCTTAATTACCTTCACCCCAAGAGCAAACTGTTTCATCAATGAACTTTTGTTGGCATTGACATCGCTATTTGTTCGGCCACACTCCTCTCTTGTGGGGACACTTGTATGACACTCTTGTGGGACATTCCTGGGGAACACTCTTGTAGGACGCTCTTGTGGGACACCCTTGTAGGACACTCTTGTAAGGGCACTCTTGCCCTTGTGGGACACTCTAGGACCCTGTAGAACACTCTTGCGGGCCACCACTACTAAAGTCTCCGAAAGTCAAGCGTCTCCAAAACTGCGTTTCTTACGGGACTTGCTCCAAAAGTCATGCGTCAAGTCTGCAAAACAAGCACTTCGTACGAAACTTCTTCCAAAATTCACTTGTCAAGTCTCCAAAACGAGCGCTTCGCATAAGCCTTCCTTTAAAACTCACACTTCAAGTCTGCAAAACGAGCGTTTCGTACGAGCGTACTTCCTCCAAAATTCACGCGTCAAGTCTCCAAAACAAGCGCTTCGTACGAGACTTCCTCCAAAAGTCACACGTCAAAGTCTCCAAACGAGCACTTCGTACGAGACTTCCTCCAGAGGTCAAGCGGGAAGCCCCATTGGAGCACACACATCAAGCAGGCCTGCCAGCAGTTTCGGGATTCCAGCGCCCCTCCGAGCAACACCCGCTCACACGCCAATCCCAATGTCACAGCAACATTCACCTCCACCACAACTCGCTACCTCACGATTCCGTGCGCCTGCCACGAAAACTTGCGTGTCGACCACCTCCAACATGCACAAAGTGCTGCGCCTGCCACGAAATGTGACCTCCGCCACACCTCGCAACCACACGATTCCCTGCGCCTGCCACGAAAATTGCACTTCCACACCTCAAAACACTTTGCGCGCCTGCCACGAAAAGTGACAACAACATATCATGTTAGCTTCAAAAAATTTGCACGACACCACACGTTTGGAATGATTTCGACACGTTCTGAGCACACTCCCATCCACCAAAAATGTCACTTTAGCTGCGACTTGTCTTGAAAACACACCTTCGAAGCAACACCCTGACACCCTGAAACGCAAGTCACCCCAAAAACACCACCCTCCAAACGCCAATCCCAATGTGACCATCTCACAAAACGCTGCCCCTGTGCAGTGCTTTCATCCTCCACATTTCATCCTCTCACGTTTCCACACGTTTCCTCACACGTCATGCTTCCATCCAACAGCTTCCCCTACTGAGCCCTACTGCGGACGGTTGCGGACGGTTGCGAACGGTTGACAACGGTTGCGGTCGCTCAGACAACGAGTCGCGAACAAGGCTCTATATACCCCCAGACAGAGTTGAACGAGAACCCTTCGCTACGCATTCGGGGAAAAAAGAAGGTAGGTAGGTCGGTAGGTAGGTAAAAAATGAAGTTCCTCAAGGAAGCTTCTTCCAGCTTCTCCAGCAACCACCAGCTTCATATACTCAGCTGCCTCCTCTGCTGAACTTATGTAGCTCTCCTCACTTACTACAAGCTTACTGCCAAAAAAAGGGCTAGGTCTGCGGCTTCACAGGGCGGAGGTCTCCACCATCGGCCCCCCTCGTAGATGCGAAAAGTCTGTGTACGCCACACCTGACCAAACACACACCAGCAGCGGCAAACTACACTGCTGAGGATGCTGCTTTGTATTTGCATACACAGACGCATGACAAGCTTCTAGGCGAATGAGTCACGCAGTAGCAGCAAGCTCTGGTGCCATGTGTGCGGCTTTGCCAAATGGTTTGAAAAAAATATACTTGTTGCAGTAGCAAACCTTTCTTGCAAAAGCCTCTGTGTTGCGAGAACCATGTTACACCTGCAAAGCCCCGTGTGCGTTAGATGCACACACAAACAAAGGTCCCAGTCAGACAAGCACCTAGATTGGTAGTCCTGTACAAGCATTCAAAAAAGCTTTATCAAGTCAGGTTGATGCTAAGACAAGCGTGTTTTCAGAAGGAGCCAAAACTAAAACGCTAGTCAAATTCAAAAAAAAATAAGAACAATAACAATAATAGTAATGGTAATAAATAACTTAAATCTATGGAAAAAAGAACTCTATCTGCAGTGCAGCCGACCATGCTGACCGAAAACACTGGGGAACCAAAAATGGCCGCATTATATACACATTATCAGTGTTAACTGCGGAATAGTCACATTCAAAATACATGTCCTTGCCACCCGCATGGTGCATAAGAGCGATTCAATCGGACTTCATAAGTGCAGAATCTGTGTGTGTGTGTCTGTGCATGTATGTGAACACAATCACGTCTTTTTGAGTCTTGTTTGGATGAGTTTGGCTTGCCTTGAAGTTGTCCCGCTGGGTAAAGGCAAACATCCTTCAAGTAAGTCGACAGCCAACTCAACTAAAGGGTGCGTTGACTCGTTGAAGAAGAAACAAAAACCTTTTCTAGGGAAATGGCCTTGTTTCAAGAACGAGGGGAATGCTTTGGGGCGGCAAGCAAGATCTGCAATCTCTCCTCCATCTGTAATAGATGTTCTCAGGAGAGTCGTGATGGAACAAGAAGTCAAAGATCCCCTGCAGAAGTCAAACAAAAGGGGCACTGCTCTCAAAATGTGCTTCTACAGAAATGCTTATTCTTTTGAAAGGCAATGAATGTTGAAATATTTTAAATATTGCTCATGACTCAAGGCTTCCTCGGGAGACTCGCGTTGCATGATGAGCTTCTCGAAATTGAAGCCTTCCTGGGCTACGTACCTGGCAGGTTCGTCCAGCTTGAAGACAACCTGTAAAAGCAGAACTACTGAGACGCATAGCACAGTAAATGAAATGCCTGGCCTTGCAAGTCTGTCAATAGTGCGTCTCTTCTTGGCGTCTGCCGGGATTTCCACAATGACCACACGAGACTTTCTCTCCTGTGACGAAGCTTCAGCAAGTCGTTGGGTGTGTTTCAGGCAGACTTTGCCTTATTACCTTTGTAGAACACGAAAGCAATCGGGTTCAAAGCGCGACCGATTTTCCGCAAGCGTAGCGAACGTAAATGGCTTCAGGCCTAGAGCCAACGAAAAAGAAACACCTGCTCACGATCGGCCATCCGACACTGAAGGCAAAACAGCGTTTCCACAGTCGATCTTCTTCTTTTCTTGCACATGTGTCGGATGCGCTCCAAACACCGTGATCAGGCGGGCCGCCACTGATTCAAGCGGTCGACGAGCGTTCGGAAGCTCGTTCAAATCCTCGTTGGCTTCAAGTTGGCGCCATTGGCAACTGTGTTTGCCATCAAAGCGGGCAAAGGTGGAGCGATATGGAAGCTCCTTTCGGGAAAAACGAGGCTCAGGCAACCTAAAGGATTTTGCCTGCCGACAAACATGCACCGCTAGGTTGCCTTTCAGCCAGCTTCAAAATGTGGCCAAACGCTGGGGAAGTACTATCAAAAGACATACCCAGGTCACTGCGCAAAGGCTCAGTTGAGCTGCTGCCATCATTCAAGGCTTTCTTGCCCTTGGAGGTTTGCTTGATGTAGCGGGAGGGAAACTGGATGCTCCAACGACAGTCCGTGAGGATCTTATGGAGGTGGGAAGCATCAAGTTCCTTGGTTGAGCAATCAACCAGCATGTTTTCCGTAGCTGTCCAGCGAATGGACATGTTGCACCGAGAAAGCATGGAACGAATCCAGCTTATGGTGAATGCCAAGCTTTTCTGGCGCCCGTAACTCGGGGTCTCGGAGCAGGACTTGTCATAAGCGTCCTTGGCATCGGTGACAACTGTCATGGCCACGGCGTCGGTGCTCAGGTCGAAGGGCTTTCGGTCAAGTGGATGACCGAATGCTTCAGCTAGCACTCCTCTGCAGTACTGCCCTGCATCCATAGCTTCTTCAATGCCGAGAAGCTCAGCCGCAAACGTCGAGCGGCAGACTCGGTTGAGTCTGTGGGACCGGGCGTCCAAGACTGCAAAGCTGCCTTCTCTTCCAGCCATCAGGTCCTCGTCAGCGATGAGGATGTAGTAGGCGGCTTGAGAAAACACTTTCTTGAGTGCTGGGCCTTGCGAGCAACCTTCTTTGGTTACATTGCCCAACGAGGCGTCAGACACCACGACGAGTCCAGCATTCTTCAAGTTGAGGGGCTTGAAGGAGAGTGCGAAGGTAGAATGCTGCTTTGCCTTTCGAACTAAGGCGTTCGCCCTTTGCAGTGTCTCAATCGTCTGGGCTGCACCTTGAAGTGTGGAGAGCTGGAACTGAAGGTCAAATCTGACTTGTGCTACCAGCCACTGCAAGCTTCCGAGAAGTGCTCTGAGCTGCTTTTGTTCTCCGGGTAGAAGAGCAGTTGATGGATCTTTACGTCGAAGAGGATGGGTCCGAGCTTGTTGAATGTTCTGGTGGTATTCCTCCATCGACACTCGAATCGAGAAGTCCGAGCGCTGCTCAATCTTCTTGCCACAGTAGGTGATGGTTCCGGAGGACGTAGAGCCGAAGCCCAATTCTTCACCAAGGGACTTCAATGTCTCATGGGCTCTCTGGTTTCCTCCAAGCAACAAATCATCAACGTGGGATATGAGGATGCCTTCAAGCTTGGAGCCGTCTGTCGACCAAAGGAACCACATAGCTGAGTCCAGGGAAGACATGCGCCAGCCGCGGCGATGCACAGACTTGCAAAGTCGCTTTTGCCAGCGTCGAGGGCTGTCGGCCAAACCAAAAACACCTTTCTTCACGCGGCATAGGCCAAACGAAGAAAAGGGAAGCTGAGGCTCATCTGCTGCCTTGGTGCGAATGTTGGCCAAGTACAAAACACGTTCTTCTGGACCAAATTCTTCGCCCTTCATGAAGGCGGACTTGATGTCAGCGCTCGCCAACCGCCACTTCATGCTAGCAGCAAAAGTCAGCAACAGGTGCTGCGAGGTCCTCGAAGCAGTAGGAGCGTCACAGCGAAGGCCATAGGCTGAGATGTCCTGGTAGCCGGGCACGACCAATCTTGCGTTGGCCTTCAGTGGAAGGTCTTGCTGCTCAGTTCGAAGGCCCTCATTCTTGTCGGTGTAGACGAAGCGAGGAACCAAAATGCGGTGGCTTTCATTTTCAGCCTTCAACTTGGTACGAATCTTCAAAGCTTCATCATCCGGCAGGGGCTCGATGGCATCGTTCTCAACCCAAACAGACCAGCCTTTGGTGGCTGCTTCACGGAACTCCTTTTTCTCAAGCGCAGTCATCTGTGTCCAAGAACGTTCCTTCCGGGCTGTCAACACAGCAAAAACTTCTTGGGCAGCATCATTGTTGCCCAGCGGCCATAGTTGCTTCAAAGTTTGCCTCTTTTTGAACTCGGTCCTCGAAGGCAAGGGCCAGTTTCCACGCCAAGTGCCGTGATCATGCACCAAGGCGGACAAGGGATCTTGACGATCAAGCTCGGCCATCTGTTGAATTTGCCGTAGAGGATGAACATGTGAAAAGGCCAAAGTTTCCAACACTTCATGGGTCACCTGCAAAGCTTCTGAGCCAGCTGCTTCAGGAACTGGCATAGGGAGAGCCGGTTCTGCGCGACTCTGTTCAGCTTCTTGGCGAAGTTGTTCTGCATCAAGTTCAGCTGGACGTTTCGTGGATCCAGCGTCATCATCTAGTTGACTGCTCTGGGCCGACACACCTCGGCGGCGTTGCGCCAATGCCGATCGTACAGCTTCAGGGAAAGGAGACTGACTCACCATGGAGGAAGTCTCACGAGACCAGCCACCTGTCGACGGGGCAGGTACAGAAGGTCCCAGTGCTTGCACCAGCTCACGCGGTTGTAGAGGAGGTAAATCAGCCGGAGCTTCTTCAGGTAAAGCAGGGAGCTGACGGGGTTCAGCATGAGGTTCCACATCTGCAGGCTCATCAGGTTCGGCATCCACTGCCGGCAACGGAGGTCGTTGTTCAACATGTCTTTGGTCTTGTTGAGCGGCTTCTATTACCTCTTCAATTGCGTCATGCCACACTGAGCTGGCCACTTGTTCCAAGGAGCTTGCTGAGCGAAGGTGTTCCATCGCACACTTGGTGAGCTGTCCACGAAAGCTCACATAGCCGTTGACACCGCCCTCGATCGCAACGAGTAGTGCCGGGCCATGCCATCGTTTCAAACTCAACTTCTTCTTGGAGGCAGCTGTCTTGTTGTTGTAGCGAGTTTGCCGGAAGAAGTAGACGATGTCACCTGGAACAAGACCATGGTTTGCAGTCGGGTTACGAGACCGTGCAATCTCAGCTCGACGCAGGCCTTTGGAGAAGTGCAAACGAACCCCATTGCAAGCCTTGTGGTCTCCCGCATAGCCACTTGCCGAGCAAGACTCGGCCTGGAGTCGATGAGGCTGTGCTCACTCAAGCGGCGACCAAAATCACCTAAACAATCTCCATGCATTCGAGGCTGCTTGCCAAAAGCTGCTTGCGTCGGCGACACTCCAGCGTCGTTGATGTCACCATTGTAGGCGGCAACTAACTCTTGCAAGCAAATGTCGAGGTCTTCCTTGCCCATTGCGGAGTGAGCCTTGATGCAAGCTCGCATGATGCCCTTCAGGATTGCTCCTCCACGTTCACAAACACCGTTTTGCCAAGGTGCTTGAACTGCTGTATGGTGAAGGTATATGCTCCGTTCGCTGCAGAACTGTTCGAACTCAGCGGACACGAATTCGCGCCCTTGGTCAGCTATCAGAACTCGAGGGGCACCAAGAACGGGCAACCAACGGGTTCGAAAGAAGCGCTCGACCATGCTGGAGCTCTTGTGTTCCAACACTTCAGCCATCTGCAGCCGGGAGACAAAGTCAATGGCGTGCACCACGTAAAAGCGCTTTTCATTGATGTCCCAGGCTTCAAAGATGTCAACGTGCACTTGATCACAAACATCTTTTGGAACTGGGAGCGTTGCTGGTCGTCGGGCCTTTGGAGCTCGTTGTTCATCACAAATGGAGCACTTCAAATGCCGTGCTGCATAGATCAGCTCTGGAGGGGCTCCTGACACAGCAAGTGCTCTTGCTAGACGACGGCCAGAACGATGTCCGGTGTTTTCATGTAGGCGCTTCAAAGCTTGCTTGGCGCTTGCCGAAATCTTTGGGGCTTTTGAGCCTTCTTCGTTTGCGACATCTGAGTCGCTCTCATCTAGGTCAACCGCAGGCATGCGCTCATCCACATCCTCCTCACCATCTTCGACGGCCAGGGTGTAGTGAGGCTTTCGGAAGTCCTGTTCGAACTGATGTTCCATTCCAACAACCAGGGCTTTTGCAAGGGCCCAGGGATAGTGGCCTGCAGGCTGAGAGATTGACTTGCCACCAATGATGTGGGAGTGTTGATGATCTGCAAAACACTTCATGCCATCAAGTTGGGTGACAACTGCATCACTCGAAGTCGCCAATCTCGTTGCTTTACGCTGAGGCTCACCACTCTTGCTCACCAACTGAAAGCGGCACTGGTGAAAATCAGAGCCTCCAACATGGAAAGTGCCTTGACCATCTCTTCAAGCGACCATGCCCTGGAGCTTTGAGGATTCTCCAGGATGAAGTGACAGCCACGCTGGCGTTGATCTTTTGCCAACTGAATTGCAAAGCGCAACAGGGTGATGGCCTGTTGGTAGAGCTCCTGGGCATTCTTCGGATGGTTGAGGTTCAACAGGATGCTCCAAAAAGAACAAGGGAAGGCCAAAACCAGGAAGAAAGGCATCTCCAATGCCAGCTTGCGCCTCGCAGCTTGTCGGTCAAGGGGCTTGAGGAAGTTCCAACCACTTTCCAAGCTCATAGAATCACCAACCTTGTGTCCTCGCGCTTTTGCTGTCTTTGCCACTCGCTCCGTAGTGGTGTAAACCTCAGTCACAAAGGTCTTGGGGTTCACAGGCTGAAAGGTCTTGGCAGAGACTTGGGCATTCTTTGGAACGGTGACATTCGCAAGAGCGTCATGCTCGACGGACTGGTCAGCATCATTCTTGAGGTCAAGGGTGAGGCAAGTGACAAAGGTCTCGTCTTGGAAGTGGTCCATGTCACTTGTCCATTGCGACTCATAGATCTCATTGACCTCTTTGGCACTCAAAGAAATCAGCTTTCTCTCACGCTCGTGGCGTCGCCAAGCATCTGCAATGAGCTGAGCTTGACCGGGCTTCACGTCCTGGTGAAGCCGCCATGGATTGGGAGGTGCCTCAGGGTGTTCACTCATAGGTCCCGAGGTGGGATGCCGTTGGCCTGCCTCCACTCTGCGTCGGACTGGTAGTAGTCGCGGTTCAGCTCTTGAATCTCTTGCGGCGTCCAGCTGTGCTCTTCCTCCGGAGAGCCCATCTGAGTGTCCTGCATCATCGTCCACTGGTAGGAAGGATCGGGACCACGGGCTGCGCCATGTAGACTGTTGACGCTCTGAAGCACTTGGTTCAGCATGCCCTGAAACTTCTGATCCTGCAGGGTCAGCAATTCTTGTACTTCTTGAGCTGTCACCCCAGGGGCTTTTGGCTCCGGAATTGGCGGAGGAGCTGCCGACTTTGCCATTGAAGGCTTGGGCACGTGCTTGTCGGTGGAGCTCATGGCCGGACTGGCCTTGCTTGTCGGAGTCTTGGCGATGTCCTGAACGATGGGACGACAAGCTTTCTTGATGTCCTCCACGGTCATCTTGGAATCCACCGTCACGTTGAGGAGCGCGGCGAGCTTGATGAAAGTCGGAAGGCCACCTTTGGGTCCGATCAGGGCTCGAACTGCTGTCATCTTCTCTCCACGTTTCGCCGTCTCCTCTGCCTCCATCTGCGCCTCTGCGATGGCTTCGCGGCGCATCTGAGACTTGATGCCCTTGCTGGATCTTGCCGCCAGCATGCCCTGCAACATGTTGTCCTCCATGAAAGCGAACTCGAGGCCAACTCGATTGCGGAACTGCCCCAACTCCATCAAGTTCTTGGTCGTGTAGACAGGCTGTTCCTGGTGGCGAGCTCGCTGCCAGTGAAATTGCGCCAAAGCTTTTGGCTTCTGGAGGATCATGGACTCGGCTTGTTCTTGCCAATGTTTGGTGTGGCTGATGCTGGGGTACGGAAAGGGCGCATACCGCAGATGTGGTCGAGTCGCGGCAAGAGCCACAAGAGCAAGCCATGGGCGTGCCATTCTGCCCGTTTTCGAAGGCGGAGGATGATTCGCCTCCATCGCACCACGGTCTTTGAGAACTCATTCATTGTGAGGTCGTGGTACTCGGGCTTGTCCATGATGATCGAATGATCCTGCTCGATGGGAAGTCGTCGAAGGGGATGTCGTCCTGGATGCGGAAGCTTCTTGAGCCACCTTCATTGCTTGAGCCCAGGCCGACGTCGCAGCTTGGATGCCGTGCTCTGTCACCAAATGCTCGTGTGGTGCATGGGCAGCATCAAAACAAACATCCAAATGAGAAAGCTTCAACTGCAACTGTCGCTTCCAAAAATCAAAACTATTCAACTGCAACTCGATGATCCCGTCCTGTCCCAGTTTCCTCCATCGTTGAGTGCCCGGACTTGGCCAAGTGGTTGGCTGGAGAGGCAAGGCGAAATGACCTGCGGCCAACTGTCCAAGTTCCAACATCTCACCATTCACCAAATCAGCCCTCAACTTCTTCCGACCGAACGAGAGGACCGCACCGATGGCACTCAAGTAGTCTCGACCGAGGAGGAGTCCAAGTGAGGGGACCGGAACAATGGAGACCCAAACCAACACCAACGAAGATCCGAGGGTCATGGGCAACCGGTAGCGAATGGTGCTGCGCTGTGTCCCTCCATTGCCAAACCTGAACAACTCATCTTCCTTCACGGCGATGATGAGGTCTTGGATCTCTTTGGGGGCTTTGGAGAGGGACGCCAAGTAGTAGGCCAACCATGAACTTCCGGCGCAAGTCCGGTTGCAGGCCGAGTCGAGGGCGCCCGCGAACTTTTTGTCCTGAGCGAGGCAGAGCACGCTCAAAGTCTTCACGTGCTGCTGGTTCAACACTTCGGACAGCGGCATGGTGAAGCACTCTTCATTTGAGACCGCCATGACCTCATGCTCATCTTCATCAGCTGAGGGCGGAACAACATGCTCTGTGTTCAGGGCTTCAGTCACCCTGACTTGCTTGGCAGGCGGAGTGCCCTTTCCACGGCCTTTTGGCTTGGCCAATCCAGCACCAGGGGCTTTGCAGCCAGCATCACCAGCCCAATGGCCAGTTTCACCGCAGTCAAAACACTTGGTCGTGCTCTTCTGCTTGGGGATCTCGTTGCCGTGCGGCTTCATGGATCGTGGACCACCGACGGCTGCCTTGCCGTAGCCACGGTCCTTCTTCACTTCAGCAATCTTCGTTCGAGCCTCTCGCGTGGTCAGGAGGCTCTCTGCAGCTTGTTCCATGCCACTCTCGAGCTCTTCAAGGACATGGGATCGCAACCATCAGTTTCAAGCTCCTGAAGTTCAGAAGCTAACAACTCAGCTTCCGTCTGGAGCACTTCCTCGATGGTGAGGCCTTCCGCAAGACCATGTTGTGTGTCATCAGGGATCAGCTCTTCCTCATCGCCTTCTGGCGGTGCATCATCTTCTTCAACACCTTCGGCCACCAAAGCCTGTCGAGGCTGAGGTCCAAACTTCTTGAACGGTGGCCGACTGGACAAAGAGCTCTGAGATCTGAAAGACCTGGATGAGGGGGCTGTCGAACTTGCTGAGGTCGAGGGCCTATAGGAGGATGCTGAGCTATTGCGGTCATGGGGCTGCAAAAACCTCTGAAGCAGTGGTGCCTTCTCGAAGTGCTTGGTCCGATTCAAAGGATCGGACGAGTGCAAATCTCGAAAAAGTCGGAGGCACTCGGCTTCCACCATGTCGTAAGACTCACGGCCAGCTAAGGCCGTTTCGAGAAGCTGCTTCCGGATGGCGTCGAGGCCAAGGCGCTCCTTGAGCATCCAACCAATCTCCTCATCAGGCATTGCAATGCCTTCTCGACGAAGCTCTGCCACCAGCGTGCGAAATCTGGTGCAAAAGGCGCTGATGCGCTCTCCAGGATTGCGCTTGATCTCCTGGTAGTACAAGGATCGAAGTTCTCCTTTGCGATCCAAGGCGGACTTGCCCACCGTCGACTCCAAAGCTGTCATCAGCTTTCGAAGGCCGCTGAACGGATCAGCTGCAGCTCGAACCACCTTCTCGCCGCTGTCGGGATCCACCATGACATCTTCCGGTGTCCCTTCAAGATCCGCTGGATCAAATTCTTCACATCTCGCTCGAACCACGCCATATTGGCGTAGGGCCCACCGTGCAGCAACGTTGAACTTTCTGCACTGGTCCGCGTCGAGAGACGCTATCCACCAATTCATCTCCCTCTTGAAGGTGCGCCACTCCTGAGGGTTTCCGGACCAGGTGGGTACTCGGTACCATGAAGAGGTTCCGGACTCTTCATTGCTTGCCATGGTGCCGCGGCCAAAATGGCCCTTCAAGCGGCACTGCTTGCTGAAAAAAAGGAACTCTTCAGTGCAGGGGTGTCAAAAACAAGGTCAAAGAACTCCTCTATGAGGTAGTTTCCAAAAGGCGGGACCTAGTTGCCCCAAAAAGACAGCACCAACTCGACTTGCACGGCGGCTTAGGTCGAAGTAGGGGCAGTGCAAAGGTGTCAAAAACAAAGTGGAGAATCTGGAGCTCCTCAAAGGGTAGGTCACAACCTCTGAGGAAACAACGTTCTCGAAAGGGTCGCGAAGGAGGTCCAAGCGAAGCAAGGCGGAGCGCAGGGTGCAATGCAAAGCTCTGGATCGAAGGCGGCTCCGGTGCCACTGTAGAACACGAAAGCAATCGGGTTCAAAGCGCGACCGATTTTCCGCAAGCGTAGCGAACGTAAATGGCTTCAGGCCTAGAGCCAACGAAAAAGAAACACCTGCTCACGATCGGCCATCCGACACTGAAGGCAAAACAGCGTTTCCACAACCTTATTGCAAATCACTCTTATGCTTTCATCTTGCAACTTTTGGGCATTTGGTCCTTGCTCTGCGGGCTATGTTCGACGTGAGCGCCCTCCCGCAAATCAAGCAGGATTGCGATTTTCAGCAAACTGGCATGCGGGCTTTGCCAAACTTTGCCTGTGATGGGCTCTTTGACCATTCGATCCAAAGAGGCACTCCATCCATTTCTCGATCCTGGAGGGCGTCCTGCAAAGACGCAACATATTTAATTTAATCTATATATATATATGTACATCTATATATTCATATATTCATATATGGCAGCCTCGTCGGTTCCTTATCCTCTTTGTCTTTCTCGTCTTTCTCTTTTTCTTCTTTCCCCGTCTCTTTGCCTCTTTGGTTTGTTGGAAAGATGTCGTCCTGAAATCTGCATTGTGTAAACCCTGCTGGAGACAAAAGATGAAAAGTTTCCTGAGGCATCCCTTGGCAAAGAGGACGACAGCTCCAGGAATGCACAAATGCTATAATTCATGTCTTTTCACTGTCTTGGCTTTGTCTGAATCATGCTCTATATCCAGCTAAATTACCCAACGACACTTTTGAAATATGTCTGTGTGGTTGTCTTGGGCCTGAAATATGCTTTCCATTGTGTCATCCATCGCCCCTGCAAGGTTTCTGTGTAACTTCTCTTCATCCAGCCACTTTGGTTGCGTTGTTCCTCTCCATCTTCAATTATAACTTCCTCTTTACACAACATAGGCATTTGCCGCATGCGTTCACATGGATTTCCCTTTGCATGGAATGGCGCCCTTTTCGCAAGGCTGGTGACGAATGGAACATCGCTTCGGCTAAGTTGCCAGTGTTTGTAGGATTCTCCGGATCACTTCATCAGTGATATTCAGAATATGCAGCTTGAGGGCCGAAGTGCATCTTTGTTTATCTTTTAAGGTATTTCCCCAAACAGGTTTACCTGTGAGGGGTTCTTGCTTCTTTGCTGCAGGTCGTAGGGCTTTCTCCGTTTGTCTCTGGGTTTGCGATGCCCTTGTTACTAGTAGCGATGCCCTTGCTCCTAGTAGCGATGCCTGTTCTGCTGGGTCGCCTCTTTTGCTGTGTCTCAAATTGTCTCCGCTTTGTCGGTCACCCTCTGCATTCCAAAAAGGGACTGTTCTATTCTGCCGTGTCTTTTTCGCGTTTGAGATCTACACCGGAACAGTTTTTGGTGTGAAAACCTAATATCAGAGCCCTGTTGAGTCATGGCAAAGGAGGAAGAACTGTTTTGCTTAATTTGAGGTGCAGCGGAAGAGAGGCTATTTCAACTTCACATGGCGTGGTGTTTGCACGGAAGTTCTATGTAGCTCAAGCAAGAAGTCGGACAGTTCTGGGTCAGAAAGTAGAATCTAGGTGAGCAGGTGAATCCAGATGACTGTGTTTGAGCAAAATGTTGACGAACAACTCAAGTGTATGGGTTGTCTGCTTTGCAGAGGCCCAGGCTTTCCAGCATCCCTCAAACGCCCCAGCAGAATGTTGTTTGCATTATCAGCAAAATGCACTTCACCCCACAGCCACAAAGTATCTGCTCTAAGAGATTCAATGGCTTTCATTGAGCAGCTAGTTAAGCTTGTTTAAGCTTGGCAATACTGCTGTTATGCTTGCTTTGTCCTTTGCCCTCTGCGCATTCTCTCGGCTATCAATACTGACCTTAGTATTGTCCACTCAATCAAGCAAACTTCATGATGGAAACTTGGCAGGAATATACAGGATGAAAGAAAGAAAGAGGAATAGGTAATAAAGAAGGAATGAAGAAAGGTCAAGTGCCCAGTGGTCTAAAGAAACAAAACTACAAGTAAGATCACAGCATAGCCCTGGATGCGGCCATCATCTTTGCTTTGCCTGTCAGGCACGAGAAGGAAACACCTTGCACTATTTGTTTCTATCTAACATGCCGGACAAACACAATATCAACAGCCGTGACTGTGCCATATCTGGAGAAGAGGGCACAAATTGCGTCCTTTGCAAAGCAAAATGGTTGGGTGTGCTTGTAAAGTTCATGTTGAAAGCAGTTCTCAATGGACAGCCGCACACAAAGAGTGAAAGAATGCTCTGCCAAATCTAATTGATAAAAATTGCAAAAGAATCTACTGTTACAGAATCTACCGGACTGAAAATCAAAGATTCCTCTGTTGCAGAGGGCGGCAACTCGCGCCTTGGTCCAGCTGGGCAACACGCATCACACTAGTGGTATGTCGTTACCAGTCATGGTGGCAAGGAGTTGACCATCTTGTACACAGAATACACTCAACAAATGAGTGTGTGCGTGTCTGAACACATCTACTTCGTGTGTCACGCACTCGGGACAGAGTTCGTACGAAGGCGCCAAATGCCTAGAAGAAACCTATGTGAAAAAATTGCCTGAATAACACAGATAATCTGCAAGGCGGTCCTACCATCTCGAAAATACCCAAGTTTCCCACAGTTTCAAGCTCCAAAAACAAATGCCTGACTGTAGTGAAAGAACCGACGTAGAGGCTGGAAAGCTTGTTCTAGTAACCAACTGTGCCCAGGAGGAAGTGGAAAGTCAAAACGTAACAGGTGCTCTGCTTCCAGCACAAGTGGATGGCTTCTTTGGGTAAGAAGAAGAAGAAGAAGCAGGAGGAGGAGAAGGTGGTGCATGCAGATATTTAAAGGTATATATATATACACAAGCTGTCGACGCCAGCGAGTCAGAAAGCCAAGCAGCTAAGCCAGCAAACAGCAAAAGGGAAAAGCAAAACGGCCTGCAATACCGTGGCTGAGGATCAGGTGCAAAAAATGAGTAGTAGGGAAGATCAAGTCGAAGTCGGCTAAACCAGCAAGCCTCAGCTTTACAAGCGACCATGACTTGTTATCTGCTATATCATATGTCCCTAGGTTTCATGTGAGAGCGTCAATGGGGTCGAAGTGCTAAAAGACTCAAATCAAAATCGGCTAGAAGACACCTGCGACTCTTTACCTTTCTTGCCGCCCGGAAAAGCTGAAATGAGGGGGTAGGCCGCTAGGAGGTAGGTGAGGTAGTAGCTTAAGTAGCTATTACCTATAGGAAGCTACCGACAGGACGCAAGATAGCTCACGCTTCTTCAAACAAGCGCTCGCACTAATCATTTGGCTCCTAGATTCTTTGGGATACTTAAATCATGAGTGGAAGGTTGTGACACAAAAGGTCATGACAGGATGCACGACATGTGCAAACCAGGCATGGCACTGAACAGTTGTCGCGCAGACACAACAGGACTTTCCCAATGATGGCTCTTTTATGTTCACATTTTGTTGAGAGGGCCCACTCAGCCCTGTTCGCTGCAAGCTTGACCCCACCCATTCCAGTCGTGCCTATGTTACCCTGAGCAGGAACCAAGACTAGTCATGTTTGAATACCCTATGCTTTTGCATCAGCATGCAAGCCTTGAAGAATACTACTGCATTTCTGAAGGTAGGCATGTCCTGTGAGCAATCAAAAGCAGAGTGCACACTCTTGGTCTGCCGAAGAAACTATTTCTTCCTAGGGTCCAGGCAAAAACAATAAAGAGGCCAGTTCATCCGCAGCAGCACTTGCACCGCCAGCACCCCATGAGCTCCCTGTTCAACAAGCTGCTATTGAATCAGACAGCAGCTCTCAAGTTTGACAACAACCAGCCATGTCTTCAGTCTTCAGGGCACTTGTCTGAGTCTTTCTCAAGCAAAAGTTCTTTGTTACATAGCAGTAAATTCTCAAATTACGCACTAAAAAGAATGTGCTCAAACCGTGGGTGCTGTCACCTCCGGAAGTACCCATGCTGGTGCTGACGGCAACAGCGGGCCGAACAATGTCGCCTGCACAAATGTCGCCAGAAAGACGAAACAGAAATTGAGCGACAAACCGTTGACAGTCTGTGGAGACCAGACTGCTACCTGCAGATTTGCAGTTGATCCTTCTGTACGTACATTACCAGGAGCATATTTGATATCCCTATGTGGACCTTCACTAGGCAAAGCCAAACAATTTGCAATTTCTTTCGTTCAAGCCAAGATTCTGAATTCTGACCGCATTGGGCCCCTTACAAGCAGTTGATCGGCGGCAACCAAACCAATCCTCAATAAAAAAACATATGCGCGTCCACACGTGTGCCTGCCATTGGTAAAGTTGCCAGCGGGACATTTGGGAAGCTCAGATTCACTGAGGGCACCTGTGCTTGAGTTTCCACACACTCCTTCTCCAAACCCCCAATTGTGGCAGAACTGCTCGCTGTCGATGCTGTCAATATCTCTTTCCTTTCCAATCCGGTTTGCTTGGAGCCCCGGCCCCCATGTCGCCTGGCACTGTTCTCATACTATGGACTCGAGGCAGAGAAACCCAAATCCCTCAATATCAATAAACCTGCTGTTCAATGCCCAGTCACTTTGGCATTGTTATGATGAATCTTGTTGGGAGCCTGTTCTTGTTGAACACACATACCCCACCCAAAAGCTTTATGAATCCGTCAGAGGCATTGGAGGTTGAATGCAGCAAAAACCATGTTTTAAACTTCGTACATCCTCCTAGGTCCTAACTCCAAGCTCGAGTTCTTTGGTGAGATCAGCGCTCTGTCTACAGGCACACCTGAAAAAACAGTGCTGGTTCTTGGGACTTCGGAGGGAGATGGTGGCAACAAGTCAGTCAGACAACTCGCGCTCTCTCTCTCTCTCTCTCCAATATATGTTTTTCGTGTATGATTTGCTTTCTATAGATTATACACAGTTTTCCTCAAATCTTGAAGGTGCTTCCTCAAGCACCCCCAATGCCACTGTAGGAACCAAATCATATTTAGAACGTTCAACATAACATTGCTGTTTGCATGTTGTTGCTTCCGCATTTGCTAAGCCGACCAGTACCTAAGGGTGTAAGGCAACGAATGCCAGTGTCTCGCAGTGCTCTGCGACGTGTTGCATGCTGCAACAGGTTTATGCGATGACCCACTACGTGTATGAAAAACTGTTGCACTTTCTATTGATTTCAGAAATCCGCCCGCACCGAAGGTGCCGAGGCGTAGCTTTAGGGCACGGGTTATACCGCAAGTACCGCAAGTACTATAGCGTTAGCTAGGGGGGGGGGGGGCATTTTTTGCTCTAGAATCCTGTGTTTCTTCACGTTTTTGGAACCGGCTTAAAGTGCTTTCGTGCTAATGTTGGGTATCTTGAAGGCTTAGGGATGCAAGAAATGCAAGTTTCTGCTTTGCATCATCTGCATCATCTGGACATTGGGCTGAACAGGTTCCCCTAACGGGGCTCAACATAGCTTCCATATTGCGTAACCACTATCTAACGGACGTGTCTGCGAGATAGGGACTTGAACGTCCGGGTACGTGGCTGGTCAGGAGCAGAGATAAGCAGATCAGGTCCAGGAACGGTAACATTATCTCACAAGCATAGCTCCCATATGGTCGAACATAACCCCAGAAGTCACTATCTC